ATGAGTCAAGTCTTATCAGCTAAAGTGATTGTGTTTATTTTAAGTTATCTTATCTTAGTTGCATTGTCCTGGTCTTTTCTACACAGAAAGAGGATCTTGAGCGTTTCTGATCAAGCTTCACCATAAGGTTCCTGTTTCTCAAAAGGTTTATGAAAAACTAATGAAACTGGTTCTGATAGTGAAAACTGGAAATATTGTTGAATTCCCCTAATCTACAGTAGTGTCGGTGCCATGTGTTTTATTATACAGTATGAGAACAGACAATGTAGTTGATAAAATGTACCACAAGAGGGAGACAAGGTTGTCATAAAATACGTTAAATAATAGAATTGCCTGTGATCTTTTCTGATTATTTTGACATGACAGATTATCGCTAAAAGAATAAACAAGACCATATTAACCATATTCTTTAGGGATCTTTATTGTGGCAGTATTAACATAGAAAACAATCCATGTTTATTTTTAGAACATACAAACATTCAAAGTTTTACTCCACAAAATTCATAAGGCTTGGTTGTCTCTGGTTTTCTTTATTCTTTCTTTTTTCTTTAGATTGATTTTAAAAAGAAAAATCTCCCAGAGTGGCTTAGTCAAAGAGACTGAAAAGAAAAAAAAAATCCAAAAGAGACAAACAACAAAAAGAACTGTCTAAAAATAAAAAAAAAAATAAACTTGAACATCAAAAACTACAGCCCCAGTCCGTAGTTTGCATACAGTCATCATATTTTGGGTTCTTTGTAATGAATTGAAATTTTACTTTTTCCAGGTTGGATAGATAATACAACAAACAACATAAAATAATTTGGAAGATAGTGCACAGATTTACTGTGGATTTTGTTTAATTCATAAATAATTCATCATAAAATGTATAGCCCCCGATATTTCCACTGACATATCACTTAATAAGATTCTTTGGCTACTGTCTTTCAGGAAACCTACTAACTTTCAGAATAATTTTGACCTCTTCACACTCAAAACATAAATGTTCCAGTAAAATCCTCAAATCAATATTACATCCATGTCACATGATGGCTGTATGTAAACTTCTGATGGGAACTGTAACCACATAACCTTCAAAACAATCAGTTTGGTTGACAAATGAAAAAAACACCAGAGGAACCGTGCAAGATAATCTGCTACTGTACATGCACATAAAACACTGAATTAATACACTTCCCGCGCCCTTTTACTTATTATCCAGCATTTTTTTGCATATATAAGACCTGAGTTTTATAATCTTAAATACATTTGCTAAAAACAGTTGATAATTTTATACAATTTAAATTCCAGGTATTATTTTATTTGTCAAATTTGATTTAAATGACAGAAAATTCGGTTTTGAATTTGAAATTATGATTAAAGGACCACATCATTAACAACTCAAGTGACATCAGCTGGTGCATCATTTTATGATTTATCATGATTCAAATCACAACCAATATCAGCTGCAGGCCTACTCTCCATCAAACTACTGGGTTATCAAACACGGGAGGCTATTTAGCTCAAAACAGGAGCCACAAACTCATATCAATCAAATGCCATCAAAGAATGCTAACAGAAATATGAGCTACGGTTCCGTGCTACATGTCATATCAGGCTATGGCGAGTTTTCAGAACCAAAAGGTTTTTTTCATTGTTTGCAGAGGTTAAGGATTTTTACACTTGCTTTCACAAACTGAACATATATGTTGACAATGACTGGAGTCCTGTTAAATGTATGTTTCTCTCAACTAAAATCACATGAATCCAGTTTTTGGCAGCTAACATGCAAGCATGCTGTTAGCGATGAGATTAGCTTAGCTTTAATGGCTTACAGTGACATAGCGTAGCATAATGAAGCTAACTCTTCAAGTATTTTGCAGCTTCTTTTTGGGGGCCAGAAGAAATGTACATTTCCAAAACTTCTTGAATTATTTAAGAAGGTGTTTATGCTTTATCTGAGAGGAAGCTCTTACAGAGTTAGAACAGAAAACCACGCGTAACCAACGTCAAGCAGATAAATAAAATTAAAGCCTAATTATGAATGAGAACCAAAGCTTTCCAGAGTATGTGGGATGAATGTTCCTCTCTCAGCTGACAGAAACACAGATAACATGCATTATTTTAAAATGGATGAGACAGCCAAGCCTCTTTACACAAAGACATACATAGGGACGAAAGGAGGAAAATCTTTACCTGCAGTGGGCCTGTTCTTTTTTTTCTTTTTTTTTTTCTTATTTTTTTCTTATTTAAACCACAACTATAAACACAATATTTACACATGAGGACATGCAGTTTGCAATGAGAGCTAATGGAGCCAGTGAACTAATATAAAAGTTGCAGCACAGCAATCAAAGACTAAAACCAGTGACAAACTATGTCTTTATAAATGCACATGATGTTTTTACATAGTCTTTTTTTTGTTTGTTTGTTTGTTCTGCAAAGTATCACAAGTCTTTTTGATGTCATGACATTTAGGGAAAAAAAGACATATTTGTCTGTCATTGGATGGGAATTATGTTACAGTGTCAGTGCATACGGGTCAGCAGGTTCATCCTCACTAGTGAAGCAAAGCTGAACTCAGATCTGTGACATTTAAAGTAAAACGCCGGCATAGCGTTTTGGCCCTTTGCTTGGGTTCACCTATGAAAGTCAGTGCATGTGCTGTTGTAGGAAAATAAATGCTTTGTCTTTAAGTACATGTTTCTGTTGTTACTGCATATTTTCTATGCATAAAACGTGCAATGCATAAAGTGTATAAAGTTACATAGCAATACAGCTGATCATAAGACATCAGAAGAGAATTTGATGTTAGACTGTATGCTGCAGCCTCACAGACTGGATGAAAAGTGACATCTGCATGTAAATGTTACTTTAGTCAGTAAAAGCGCATTGAAGGAGACACTTTGTGTTCCAGTTCCTATTAGAATGACATGATGCATACACAGCTGATTAAATTAGGCAGACAATCTGCAGCCATAATAATATCTTGTTCCACATAAACTGCTTTGGTGTCCAGAAAAGCACAACATGTGACTGTAATGTGTGTTAATGTATCCCTTGTGTGACATCTGTTTTCATGTTAACATAAACAGTTGAGCTTTCCTGAGAGTAAGCTACATATTATAGTTTCTTTTGGTCTAACCAAGTCCCGTGCTCACCATTGTTTGTCTTTCGTAGCCTTTACATATTAATAATTTACTGATAGTTGAATATTTTTCAGTCACGGATGATTTTTATCCCAGACTTTCTTCTGTTGTATTACGTTAATGCTTCACAAAACAAAGAACTGAATGACGGTAAGATACTCCAATGCAGCAACTTCCTCAACTACTTTTCCAAGCAATTATCTCTTTAAATACTTTTGTGACTTTACCTAGAAAGGTAGGCATTTCTACAGATCATCCTAAAAATGAATACAGATCAGTTCAAATTTGTGTTTGTGTTAGGTAAATATGTTTGCTATTATTTCTTTTACACCAGTGAATGCTTTGCATGATTGGACTAGGCCCGTGGTTCTCACATTGTGGTACAAGCACCACTGCTAGTTTTAATATTACGCAGTGTCTGATTTATCAGTGAAATTGGGTCTGAAAATGAGTTGGAAATCAGTGTTATTTGCTAAATTCAGGGTATTTACAAAAAGTAACGGACGATTTTATAGGCAAACAAACAGCGAGTGTAACGCATGCAGGAGAAAGAAATCGTTAAAACAGCTCTTAAAGTAAAAAGGGACTGTTTTTCAGATAAGATTTCAAATTCAGTCAATGACATGACGCATAAAACAGAACCAAATAGTAAATGTAGTCAGAATTAGGAGTGGCTTAGTTGGGTAATAAATATCTGTGGCCTAAAAAAGGAAAACACATCTGTTTTTACCAGCAAGATGACTATTAGAAATGGGCACCAAATTAAAAACCTACTAATTGTTAAGTAAGACTGCAGCAACTAATAATTCGACATGTATTCAACCTCCCTAAACAATAAAACTAGTAGATTTTTACACGGCCAATGTTTTCAAGCAGCTTAAGCTCACAAAGCCATGGCAACGTCGTCTGGGTTTTCTCAAACCTTTAGTGTATGTAAACCTCTGAATTTATAGTAATGAGCTATAACTGACAGTAATTTGTTCTCATTACTGACATTTAGCAAATGAAAATACATTCAGACAATGTCAATGTGAGACAATGTCTCACATTGTCTTTGTCTTCAATGTGAGACAAAGACAAAAAACATAATCTGCTTATTTTTACAGTGCATGTAAATATCTGGTTTTAGCTGCGTGTGTGAAATGGCTTGTTCACACTGGCAAAGTCAAATGGCAGAGAGACACTGACCCAGTTGGTAGTACTTAGTGTTCGATAAGGTGGTACTTGTAATCAAAAGTATGAGAACCATTCAACCAAACCAACCTAAAGACTCACGTTTCACTTGTTTCTTAACTTTCTGCCAACACAAACTTCTTCAAAATCACAAATCAAACAGCAATTCTCAGTTTCACTATTTAGAAGCGTCTTCACTTCACTTCCCTTTTCTTTTCTTTTCTTTTCTCTTCTTTGCTGCATTTGCTGAAAGTATCATGTTGAACGATGAACGCTAGTCCACGAGCTAACATTTAAAACACTTAACGGTTCCACAAAGGACATCCTAACGTCACACACAGGTTTGTTTTTCTCTACGGCTTTCCTTCGTAATGACATCAAATAATCCGAAAAAAGCTGAAAGATTTGTGCTCTAACCTCTGCTGGAGTAAAACCAGATTTCTACCACAAAGACAACACCCGTTGACGGTAGTCTTAAAAAAATAGTTTCTCAACACCCTTCATTCTGATAAACTGCAGTAAATTAGCTTTTTTATCTTTTTTTTTTAGTAATCTTTTGTAAACTCTTAATTTGAAAATAAGCTCAAAGTAGATCTTCTGACTGAAAAATTCCTGAAAGATCTGAATCACATAAAAATGTACAAAACTTTAAAAACAACTTATTTGATATTGGTAGCAATTTTTAATGTCTTGGTGTAGTTTTTTTTTTTTTTTTTTTAATCTGTTGCTCAGATTGTTGCTTTTGTTTACTGGTAAGTATGCATTTTTTACTCTTTCATTTCCCACCCACTCCATCATGACTGACAGACTTGATAGCCAATCAGGTGATCTGGTTCGAAGGATGAACACCAATCAGAACAGTTTGTGACGCCTACTGTAGAGGCTTTGCCTGAACTCGTCGGCATCAGGAGTGGAGAGGCCTTCAAATCTAAAGGAAAATAAAAACAATAAAACTAATACATTTCTCAGTTTCCCTTCCCTCCATGACTTCCCTTTTTGTTCTCAGGTAGTTCTTGCCAGAAATGTCAGTCTTATCAAGTGATTCAACTTCATAATAAAGAAGGATTTCCCTCCCTAGTTTCAGGTTTACTAAGAGGTAAGTCATTCTACCAATGAGAAAGAACAATACTTGTTTCCAAAATGTTTAGCACGCACTGACTCAATTCAAACAAGCGATTTTCCTTCATCTCATTGGCAGGTTGAATTGTCTACCTTAAGAGGCGTCGCTTTTTAAGACATTTCACATTAAATCACATGTTTAGACAGACATTTGGGCCCAGCTTTTTCCTTTTTCCTTGACTCATCACTGATTTCTCTCCCTTTCTCCGTCTTGACTTGCCTAGTCAGACCACAGGTTCTCCATGGCCATGCTGATCTTGCACAGAATCCAGCGTCGAAGCGGGCAGTAATACTCGTAGTGGAACTGCTCAAACTCTGGCGTCTGTCGGATCTCGTGGAGGAACGAGACGTCGATGTCCGACTCCAGCAGCAGCAGCAGTGTGGGCACAGTGATGAGCAGGACCCCCATGAGCACGGCTACGAACCTGGCTACCCCCAGCACCCAGGTGTTGACTCTCTCGTTGGACGAAAGCAGCCGCAGGCTGCTGGCCAGGATTCCGCTCATTCGGCTTCTGGCGGCCAGGCGAGTGCGTTCAAATTCACGGTCCCGCTCCCTCTCGGCCTCCAACTGGGCCTGGATGTCGGGGTCAGCATGGAGCTCTCTCAGCAGTCTAGCGGGACTCTGGACAGGACTGGAGAAGAGCTGGTTGACCCCTCCCTGACTGTCTTCCACTGGGGTGGGGAGCATGCTGGCGCAGGGGCTGGAGAGGGGAGACAAGATGTTCATGAAATCAGAAAGATGCTAAAGCAAAATGCAACTAGGCAGTTTTTTTTCCAGAGAACATTTGCAGGTGCATACAAGGCATGCAGATTGCTTCTACTAACATATGTTAAAGAATGTTTCACTTTATGTGACAGCAGAAGTCCTAGCCTAAAAGTACCACCAGATTAGTTACAAAGTGAGTTAAAGACCTCATAAAATGGCAAAGAAAATGTTTAGGTAGAGCTCAAAAGCTGTTGGCAAGATGGCCTCTCAACCTGGATAAGTTAGATGAGTTCATACTGGACTAACAGGCTAAAATTCAGTGAGCTTTTGTGAAAAGCTTGTGGAAGGATACCCAAAAACATTCGACCAGGCCATAGAGTTAAAAAGGCAACAGTAGAAAATATGTCTGAACTTCTGAATATGAAAAGAGTTAAAAAACAACACTTGACATTCTCCCTCCTTATTGTAGCATTTGGCAAATATAAATAAAAATGTAAATTCTAACTGATCTGAAAGATTTAGTCTGACATGTTACGAATTAGAAAGATACAAACATAATTACGCCTTTTTTTTAACTAGTAGTCTTGAAGCAACTTATTACTCTTTTGCCTGCTACTTGGTCAGAGTGAAATAAACGAACATAAAATTTAAAATATAATTATGATCTATGTTTATGCAACTTTAAAGACCTGTATGCAAGTTCAGAGATGGTGAGTGCACCGCCGCCCTCGTCGTCTTCCTCCAGTCCGTCTTCAGCTTTTGGTGTTAGGGGTGGGAGGTATGGGGTTTCCATGGAGACACAGTGAGGCTGCAGGTCATTGATCAAAGAAGAGCTTCCCCTCTCTGCACATGATTGTTCTGTGTCCGCCGCTGCTGAGGGTTCGAGAGGAGACAGAGGAACTGGATCCTTCACAGCAACAACGCCTGCTAAAGGACAATTACAAAAAAAAAAAAAGAGCCATTCATCGAAGTTAAATATAATTTCAGACAAATTAAAATTGAATATTATCACACAGAGAAGGTTAAGCTTCACTGGATACAAATCCCCAAAATAATTGGATAGTCCAAAAACAAAAGTATTTATTTATGCTTGGCCTGTAAGAGAAGGACACTGGTGGCAAATCCCCCATGTGAATAAGTCACCTTCATAAAACACTCAAACATTCGCTGTTCAATACGTCAACCACACGATGGCGCTCCTGTCCTACTTAAAGACAGAACAAGTGGCGCATACGATGAAAGAAATGCAGCCTAATAAAAACGAAGTAACCAGCTTTGAATTAAATGTGAAAGAAAATGAGGTCAGTTATGTAACTTGTTGATACAGGAGTGACAAACATGAAAGATCTGCCATCTGCTTGGTTCAAAGTGCGCGTCGCAGCCGCAGGATGTTCTGTGCGGCCTGCGGAGGCCAGCGGGGGAATCTTGCTGTGCATTAGTCGAGGATGCGATCAGTTCTGAGATGCTGTTTGTGGTTCTGTGTCGTCCAACTTCAGGCTCGTGGCAAAGTAAATCTCTTTAATGATGTGATGCGGACGGACAGGAGAGCAGCTGTGTGCGGATTTACTCAACTCCAAGGTGTTGACTCAATAATGAGTGAATGAATCTAAATAATGAATCTAAATACAATCTGAGTAAATAAGTGATGTATGTGTTTAAAAATAAAGCCAGCTGCCATCCTGCAGCAGATAAAGACGAGGCTGGGGGGTAAACGTCTTGAGAAATAAGACTCGGATAGTCAAGAAGTCCAACTGCAGAGCCTGTCTTGCGGTTTTGTGACGAAACACACATTCATGAGCAAAATCACAGCCAGTGTCGATGGATGAGAAGCTAGTGGTGACAGTAACCATAGAAACACAGCCAGAAAGAAACAACATGTGTGCAAAACTCAACACATGGGAATCAGAATCAGAAGTAAAGAACTGTGGAAAAAAGAGGGACTCTGTATTATTTCTTAAACCACTGATTTAAGATGCCACTTTCACCTTTACATCTTAAATATCCTCTTATTCCATGCAGGTTGAATCAAAATGAACCTTTTTTTATCTCTTTGACCTTTGAAATCTGATGCGGCATATTTCAAAGTTTGTCTTGAAATAATGCACTTATTTTATTAATTCAGGAGTAAAAAAGCTTCTAAGTGTTTCTTTTTGTGTCAATCATGAATAAACCTTAATTTTGATAAATATACCAGAATGTAATTGCTTCATTTATTTGAGATAAACTGTGCTTTTTTTTTTTTTTACAGGTTAAACACTGTTCTGGGACTGGTAACTAACTTTGCAAGACTGGGACAAATTTGTTGATGAACTTTTAACAATTTGACACTTTGGTCCAAAATCTTTTACACAAATTGTCTTTATTTAGCTGACAAAGGTCTGGAAGGTTTGTGTTTCCAGTTTGTGGAGTTTGGTCCTGCACGCATCAGGTTTTCTGCCTACCATGCTTTTCTCTCAACAACACAAGCCCAGGATGGGTTAACTGGAAAAACTAAAGTTCATAATTATGTGGTCATTAAGTTCACAGATCTGCAGTGTTTAGAGTATCGGGCTATTCACTTGACAGTTTATAAGGTTAGTTTATGTGAAATGGGCATATGCATGTGGCTATGCCTCTGATGTACGTCGAACTGTTTCTCCCTTCTTTGTACTCATCTTACTTTGTTCCAGTGAGCCTCTCTGATGTGCAGTTCTGGTTCCCGAGATCCGTCCGCCGTGCCCCACCAGCCTCACGTAAACGTCTCTTGCGGTGTGATTAGCTATCCGTAGATGGATGCTCCGCCGCGTTGTGATCTTAACCTGACATCTGGCAGCCTCGGCCACCACCACTGAGGCTGCTTGCTCCTCGAAAACCTCAATAGGCCCGACCCGACCCGGCTCCATCCCCTCTCCCTGTGGTCTCTCTGGTATCAGGTCCACCATCAGCCCCCCGGTCTGTCCCGGACTTCCACACCTTATAGTGTCCCCTACTTTAGGGTGATCACTGACTCTCAGCTCCAAGCTGCTTTGCAGGAATTCCCCGCCAACATCCCCACCGGTCCTGTGCTCAAGAAGCTCCATGGTTCGGTTTTACGGCAAACTTCGGACTGGGCTGCCGGCTGGACTCAAACGCTAGAGACAGACGCCGTGAGACACTCACCAGACACATGCCCTCACTCATACACAGACACAGTGGGCCCTGCTGTGAATGTCAGGGATATTAACATGGAGTGGAGGGGGCATTAGAGGCGGATCAGGCCCAAAGCTGCACTTTCTATATATAACCAAGTGGTCCTAGCTGCAGAGAAGCAGCTAATCTAGCTGTGATTACAGAGGGGCAGGCCTGACCCCACCGCCATGGGGATCACTTTCTTTTCCTTTCTACAAATCTGATTTTATCTGCCTCTTTTCCTCCTGAGACAAACTTGGCTCTGTGGGGCATTAGTTACAAGGCAAAGGCAAACATTGTTCACTGAAATGCATCCTCCAAGCCCCCGATTAGCCAGAGGTGACGACTTGTCGCATCACTCCCATGTCCTTACTGTCTGTGACGCAACCATCTGAGGGAGGTCCAAATTTATAGTGCCACTGAAATAATGTATCTGTAGACCAAACTGAGACATATGAAGTTTGTCTGTGTGTATTTGGTGCTTCAGACTGGAACAGGCTGCCCTAGCAGGACAAGGACATCACTGACCTTGGGTCAGCTTCCTGTTCCCCCGACTAATGGTTCAGATTAGTGCTCTGAATATAGATGGTGATCCTAGAGCATCTTGAGGACACTTTATCCCAAAGTCCTTGTAGCAGATTCTTCAGTCAGCATTTGACAGTTTATTGGTGAGAAAGTGCTTAGAAAGGCCTGTTTTAATGATACTGGCTGCAAAATTTATGATACTTTAGTGATTTCTACACTGCAGAGAACATTTTTAAATCTAGTTTTATGTTAATGCTCACTCTTTATGTTAACAGACCCTCAGTTTGCATAATAACTCATGATGTGAATTAATGGAGTGTGAGCTCCTCAATTAATGGTTGAATTTTGGCAAAAAGAGGGGAAATGACAACTTGGGTGATAAAGAATAATAATAGTAATAACTTTACACCTTTGTATTAAGTGTTTTAAAAAATAGATGTGGAAGAATTTGATTTCTGTGAAACTGCTCCTGCAGATTTTGGTTAAACATGACAGAAATATTCTAATCATTTTCATTCTTTCACTTTTTCGCATCAGATCAGATGATGTGAAGGTGAATGCTAACCTTCACAGACTTCATGTAAAGCTTTGAGCAGTGAGGTTTTGATTTTTGTTAAAAACTAATGAGGGGGGAGAAAGAGGTCGGCAGAAAGAAAAGTGTAGAGAAATCATTTAAACTAAGTAGCTCTTTCAGTGTGGTCCTCAATCAGCGTTTTATAAGGTAAGATTGATCAATTTCTTCTCAATTAGCTGTCTCACTTCTCAAGGTCAACAAAATCACTAGTTTACCTGCTTCCCTTTCTAATTGTCATTTATTTACCATCTTTTTTCCACATCCATGCCTTTCACTCAGCTTGTGACGCACGTCCCTCCTATCATGTAGCTCCTCTCTCATGTCGCCCTGTCTTGTTTCCATTCACCCTGTTTGTCTCTGCTCTCGTATAATCCTGCCCTGAGCTCTTCCACACCAGTTTCCCTTCCTGTCTTATCAACAACACTGGTAGATTAATGGACACATGCATGAAATAGTGCAAAGTAGACGTACATAATACATTTAAATTGACATCTGTGGCCAGTGTTGAGTGCATGATTATATACAACAAGATGTCAAATGCTTTGTTTCTTCTCACTGAACATGTGAGTCTAAGGTAACAAGTTGTGTATAAGACAGGATTTGCCATCTCATAACTTAAGTTCAGTTATAAACAGTTTTTTTTATTTTTTTTTTTTTTATTCTTATCCCATTTGAGCTGAAAAAAGTTGGAAAAACTGCAAGACCAAAACTGAAATACTTTAATAACTCAGAAAATTCAGATAGCAGATTGTTGCTGCTTGATACAACGGATTGTTTTTTTTTATTTTATTAAAGAGCTAATTTATTTAATATGAATCTAGGTAAATACTGGAATCAATGTAAAATCATATTTGGTCACTTTGTTCTCATCGGATTGTTTTAAGAAAATCCTAAACTTTTCTTTAGTGTTATCGTCCTGGAAATGTAGCCTTATTCAGAATCAGATAGAAAACATAAACATTCATACAAATGGAGGGTTTCTACTTCTTCTATGACATGAAAAAAAAGCTTTCTCAGGCATCCATGAAACTGGAAATTTGGACATAAAACATATTTCAGGGTTCTTGATACATTTTGACCTTCCTTGTTGCTTCATGTATATATTTTCTACTTTGTGTTTGCAGCTGTGTTTTCTGACTAAGCATGATGTATCTGTACGTTGGTCTCATTAGAAAGAGCAATTACGTCCACATTATGTTTCGATCTATACTGCACATCCTGCAGATAGATAAAAACTGTTAGATTTATTTTTATTTAATTCATACTTTTAGTTGCATAAAATTACCTGTAATGCACAGGTAATAGAAGGAGTTATAAGCAACTTGTGTTATTCATCAGGTGATCACTTGACTCTGGCGCCAAAACAGTTTGCGATGAATACCTGTAGCTACACTCCTAGTTTACAGACGTAAAACAAATTATTTGATTCTGACTAAAGACTTTTAGTTGGCCAGGAGTCAAATGTCAAAGGTCATCCAGAACAGTATAGTAGGAGATGTAGGAGAAATAAGCGAGCAAAATGGAGACAGAAACAAAGGGGAATAAACAGAACAACAAAGGAACACGGCAGGATAAATAAAACACAAGAATAAGTAAAAAACTAAGATGAGTCTAATATTCCTCTTTATATAGTTGATGTATTTTACTATACATCAACTATATTAAGTTGATGTATGACGCAATCATTTCTTATTAGTGCAGAGCCAACGACAAACAAAATTAACAAAAACTTGCGGGCCCAGATGCTCACAGGGGCGTAAACAGACAGACTCCTTGGAGCCAAATGCATCACTTGTGATTGAGTTTTCCTTAATGATACGGCGGCAGATGTTTGCTGTGCGGCTGTGTTTCTGAGATGACAAAGAGTACATGTGACTCTGTAAAAACAACACACGCACAAAGTCTGACACGCAGACACTCAGAGGCATGAAGGGGGGGGATCCTCGGGGAGGATTATGGGAGGGGTATTTTTAGCGTTCTGCAATTGGAGTCTCCAGGGAGACGAGGCTGATGGAGGGAGCATCAGCTGCTCAATTAACTCTCGCTGGCTGAGAGTCACACATGAGCTTCCTCTTACACAAGGGAGGCCCAATGTGACTTTCTGAGGCGTGTTGCAGGAGGACATGAAGCCGTAGGGTGTGATGTGTGCGCAGGTTCCTCCTACCGGGGTCTGCTGCCGCCTCTTCGTATTCGTTGGTGGATGGCAGTGCGGGAACCAGAGGCTCCATGTTCATGATCAGGTTTTTATGGCTCAGAGAGTTATAACTTCGACTCTGACCAAACTGTGCTCTGGAAAAAAAACAAACAAAGAAAAAAAAAAACACACACATTGAAAGTTGTTGTGTTGTCCTTCAGGGCGTCCAGCTGTTCAGTCTTGAACAACTGGAGGTGTGTCAGTCCTACCTGTGAACCTCGGGTGGATCTCGCTGAATCTTGGAGCTGGCCTCTATCACTTCCTTTGCTACTTTTCCACTGACGAGGAAAATCACATACATGTTGATGGTTTTACTAACAAACATGTCAATTTTCTAAATACTGTATTTTTCTTCTTCAGCCTCTATTATTTACTCTGTTAAAAGCACGAGACTCTAAAATGTCAAAAAGCATATCAGAGTCAGGAAGAAAACCTGGCTGAGATTAAGGAGGTTTCCACAGTGTGTGGTGTGAGTTATAATGCATGTACCGTATGGCATTTTTCTAATTTAGCTGCAGAAGCCTGCAAAGAAAATGACTAAAATAGATTTGTCTTATTAGTTTTGCTGATGTTGCTAATAATTAGTGCCGCTCTTAACTGTTCCGTTTCAATTCTTTCTCACATTTTGTAACATTATAACCACAAACCTCAATGCAGCAGTGTTGCTGTTTCACAAAACGTGATAAACTTAGCAAGTATAAACACATTTGTGAGGCATTTCAGCTCCCATTGTTTTGAACAATGGCAGCTTAGAGGTTTGTTTCAGGGTCAGCAGGCTCCACCGTCTCATCTGCTCCATTTGTGAAGACTGGGGGTAACATAAGAGATCTGCATGGTGCAAATGTATACTTGTTACATTTATGTAATTGCTCTATAGAGCAATTTCACAAACAAAGAGTTATCATTTGTCTGAATGAATTACATCCCAATAGCTGGAGAAACCAAGGATCATTAGTTGCGAATTATATCATTATTCTGGGAAGTTCTGCTTTTTTTATTTCAATGAATAAACAGACAAAGATAACAGATAAAAGTCTGTCATGTAACAGACAAGAAACTAAAAAGAAACAAGAACTTCTATAAAGTCAATAACCTATTCTGATGCATTGAACTAGAAAGAAACAGCTAAGATCAAACTGGAACATGTGTAAGTGAATCTGATTCTGTCTGGATTAAATAGTTTGTAAAGATGTTGAGATGAGATTTAATGTGAACTAGTGGCGCTAGCTCATGCTAAAGACTTCAGACTACAAACCTCATCTAAACAAAAAATAATATTCCTCTTATTTTTGCCATACATGGAAAAAATCTAAATACAATTCCACTCTTCTCTGGACTTCAACAATGTGTAGGAAGCCTTCCTTCCAAGCATGAACTTTGCTTTTTTTATCATGTTGTATTTTTCACGTTGCTCTCCAACATCACGCCTCCGCACTGTTTTCCGTCTCACCTGTATCTGAACCTGCTGCCTTTGAAGAAGATGTTACTGCTTGAGACGGTCTTTATCTGACTCGACTTCGCACACCTGACAGACAGACAGACAGACAGACAGACAGACAGAGGAATAAACAGCAGCAGACATTAAGCTCAAAATCTGAAGCACACCGCAGTTTCACAGTGAACATTAAAGAATTCAAGAACTTGTGGGAACATTTTTCTAAACAACTCCAACAACATTATTAGGTCTTTTCACATTGTCTTTGAGCTTTTATTAACAATCTTCTTTCCATTCCTCGTCCTTCAGCAGTATTTACAGAAAAATGGGAGAATATTTTTTTTATATATTTTTCATAATAAGATCTGACCATCAGCGACCAACAACCTCATCTTGGCAGCCATTTCCAAACTTGATTTATTGTAATTTGATTTAGAGGTTCTGATGCTTGTCTGACGTCTGAGCTGACTTTTACTCCCTCCTTCTCTCAGAGACACATTAACCCTTTATTCATCTACTTCACAACCTCACTGTTGATTCCGGCTGCACTATATTGCTTTTGAGTGAAAGCATATCAATTGTTTCCAGAAAAATGTATTTATCAGGTATAAGATGAAGCCTTACATCGTGACAGATAAGGACACATGACAGTGTATTCTTCATAAGTGAGTCAAATCTAACAGAGATGTTTTTGAAGCCATGTGAACTCAGTGGCTAAACTTCATAAATTGAGGGGCAAAGTTACACAAAACCTTTTCCTTTTTCACCTTAAATGGCTGAATTTATGAATTTCTCATCACCGTTCCTCCTGACTGTGCTGGTGTGCCTGAGTTAGGTTTGTAAGTTTACCAGACTAAACTTTTAAAATATTCTTTATGCAGATCACTAAGCCCACAATAGCTGTAAACAGGAAATTATCATAATTAACCGGAATAATGGCTTGAAAACATCTGTCTGTGTATAAAACTTATATGTGTTTCACTTTATGAAGTTGCCAAACTAATAAAAATTTTCAGTGATACTGTAATAAATATGATTACATTTTGACTTTTCAGTTGACTTTGTGATGACTCAAATATTTTACTTTGTTGTTTTGTTTCATTTCTGTGATTAATAAACTTTTATAGTTGTTCTTGAAATTAAGTCTTAAGTCTATTTTACTTTTTATCTATATTTTTACTAGTTTGAGCTTAATTGTAATTTTCCTGAACATTCTCAACTATCTTTATCTCATATTCACTTAATCACCATTTCTGCTTGTTCTCCTTTGATCCAACACCATTTATGAATACTTTATATATTTTTATATAGTTCTGCTTTCCCCCTAATTTAAAATTATTTTCTTCTTTAGCTGCTTGACTTTTGATTTCTGCTGTTTTGTCTTTTGCTAAATGTTTTCTGTTCACTTTGAGATGAATATTTACAGCAATTTTTGATGAAAAATGCACATCCAGAAGATGTACACAACACTGCATGTGTGTTTGCAGACGCACTTGTAAAAGGCCTGGTTCTCCACCCCACACTTCCATAGGTGCTTACACGCTGCAGGAGTCGTGGTGTGAAATGTCAACACCAGCTTTTTCTGCACAGAAATAGAGACAGAAAGAAAAAAAGAGTGAATGGCTGTCCAGAGAGGCATAAATAAGGGGAAGTGCTGAACATAATGTGAGGGAGCTGCACAAAACGCTGACCCATAGATCCAAAGCTGTAAGCTTAGCAAGATATAAGACAGATATAGTGATTTGGCCACCGTGTTCAGCAGTAAAAAGAGCTTGTAGCTTGCAGAGGATGGGTCTTTATGGACAGGGAGAGGGGATTTATTCCTGCAGATGTCTCGTTTTCAGGCCTGCGTGTTTGGCAACATGAGATACCAGATCGATATCGCTCAAATGCAAGGCGCAGAGCGAGCGGGAGGCAGAGAGGAAACAGTGAAGTCAATATAATGGAGAGAGTTACAGTAACACAATATGAGGCATACGTCAGAGCCAAATGAAAGTGGCACAAACAGCTTTGATGTAATTTTTTTTATGTTTTATTTTTTTTGTCCAGTCTGTTTCTTTTCCTGCACAGCTCCCTCTTTGTCATGCAGCAGGGGCAGTGCCTTGCAAAAGTATTCATTTTTACTCACATTAAAACCACAAAGCTCAGTGTACTTATTTCAATTTGTATATGACAGACCAGCATACAGTAGTGTAAAATTGTAAAGTGAAAGGAAAATGATACATAGTCCTCAAACGTTTTTACAAGCAAAAATCTGAAACAATTGATAAGAGCCAATTAAACTTGTTGATTAGTATCAGAGTCCGTTTATGCAGTTTAACCTGAATATAAATACAGATTCTTGTGAAGGTTTGTTGGAGGACATTAATAAACGACCAGCAACGTCACACAGTGAACAGGTCAGGGATCAAGCTGGGGTAGATTTTAAAACAATATCCAAAGCTTCAAACATCTCAGTGCACTTTTCAATCCATTATGCAAAAATGAAAAGAGTACGGCACAACTGCAAACCTGCAGAGTCACAGACAGCGCCACCTAAACTGGCAGAGTTATAGAGCTGCTTTCATCAAGTAAGAATCCTGGTTGGACTGTGGCTGAACAATGAGTTACTGAACTGGAGGAACACAGCAGGAAAAACCTTGTGAGGAGACGTTCGTCATTTAAAATGTGCAAGAAGCTGGATGGAGGTTTTATCTAGCAGTTGATACTGAGAGGAAATCCTCTGCTAATAACCTGCTGGCCATTTTAGACGATGCTCGTCTTCACCTACATAAAGTCCCTTTCTTAAATATCTTTAATTTTTCGTCATGTTTACATTAAGTCCTGCACACCACTCAAACTGACATCCCTTAAATTTTACAAAACAGAAAAATGTTTTTAAAGCCCATGTATCACTGTTATTTTTTCACATAAAATCCCAATAAAATACACTGAAATTTGTGGATTTAGTGTGAACAAATGTGGGAAATATTGCAGGCGAATGACTACTGTTGCAAGGGTGTGTGTATTAGGTTTGTACTGTGATTCACACGCATGAACTACAGCAGCTACATCTGTGCTTACATGTGTGTAGAAGAGACGAGATGTTTGGAAGTCATTGACAAATAATGTTTGGTCCCACTTTGGCTGAAATGCTCAATTTCTAAAGGACGACCTGATGACATTTATCATGCAGTGTACACTGCTTTCCAATTCCAAGTTGTATAATCTATTATATTATATAATTCTACTATATTTATAATGCCCTCAATAATTCTTGGTACTTCTAGTAGAGACATGTAATAAAATGTAAAAGGACTTAATCTGTAATTGCAATAACATAATTTCGCACTGAATGCATTTAATCATTGAACAAATTTTGTGATGAGAAAATACACTAAAATCATCAACATTCCTAACAGCTCTTATAAAACAAATGTACCTGAAACATTTGAACTAATATTTTAACCGTTTATCAAGTTGATCAGAGGTTTGTTGAAACTTTATTTTGTAAATAAACAATTTCCTGTTTCCCCTGGGGTATGAAAACTGTATTGAGTGCTCATTTCTCTTAACCACGCCTCAAATTTGGAACATGCCTTTACAGTCAGGCAGATTTATATTTACCTTAATTTATTGGAAACCAGATTAACTAATATAAAGTTATCTTAACCCTTTACCTGAGTGCTGCACAACCTGACAGTGTTTATATAAAATAAAATAAAGTCTAAAATAGACGACATTCATGTTTAATTTTACAGAAAATTAAAATCCCTTTTCTCCAGTTTTGAGAAACTTTGAATGTATTTATTTAAATTATCATACTGACAATTATGTATTTATAACACTAATTATATCTCTTTAGTCCTTGACAAAATATAAGATACAAACAATTAACAGGGTGTAAGTTTGCAAGTTTCAAGGATAAGTTTTAATGCTGGATTTGGGTCTCTGTGGTTTGTTTGACATTCATATTCTTCAGATTCGCAGCTACTGTCTTGCGTCTATTTTTGACTCTGCAGAAGATGTAAACATTTACATTGAACCAATTTAAAATGACATTGAAAAGGTTACGAGACGACGAGGAAGAACAGGCTTTTCAAGCAAGTGTTGTCTTACTAGGGGAGTGAAAAGTTGCAATCAGTCCAAGGTGGGAAACACGGAAAAATTATCAGTTTTGTGGAAAACTTTTGTAAAAAACAAAACAAAACAAACAACAATAAAATAAAAATATACACACAGACACACATCCACAGACATAAAAGGAAAAATGAATATGTTAGGGAACATTGTTGAAACGGGGAAAAATGGAATCGATTATGCATCTTGACGTTGCATAATCTACAGTAAGTGACGATTGAGCTGTGAGGGTCATTTTGATCATGTGGCTGCAAAGATTACAGGAGATAATAGAAAATAAATGTACAAATCGTTTCAAAACAGTGGCGATACGAGACAAAAATACACAAACAACAATGAAACAACAGAAAACGTCACTCCAATCGTTCTCTGAGGTGAGGGCAGGTCTGCAAGGAGAGGTGTTGTGTTGAGGATTGAATGATTGGTGCTGCTGCGGTTACTCATATCTACTCACCAGTGAAGACTATGTTTTTTTACACAGAGAGAAAAGACAGAAACACAAAGATAAATCTGCATCTTCAGCCCTTTGTGAGTTGCCAAACAGACAAGCAGGCACACTGACATGCTAAGCGGCGATGGAAGAGCCGGGTTAAGCTGCAGTGGGGAGAATATTTATGAGACTTGCCGAAACCAATCAGCTGAAAGGTAGATTAAAGAGCAAGCACGTCGTGGTTGCGTTAAACATAGTTTTATCAAAAATAAGTGAAGCATATATGCAAAGCTCTGAGAATGCTGCTCCAAATCTACCAAATGACTCTGCAGGAAGATGGTTAACACAGAGATGAAGCACGCGTCCCAAATTTTAGGACACCTGCTGCGGAGCGATGCACGTCTCCAACGTTATTTATCTGTGATGTAATGCTTTCATTTGGACCACAGTCAAACACATAATGCGAGGGAGGAGATTTAGTCGTAACACACCCACCATCCTGTTACATTGAATCCTGCCTGTTAAGGAGATCTGAAACAGCGACACACATATAGATTGTGTGTGATGGTGGACAGGATTACAAACGGTACAGTTAATCTGACAAAGATGACGGGACAGAAACACGGAGGGGGGAGAAGGGAAGAATAGAAAGAGAGAGAGAATGAGGGACGGAGGAGAGTTCAGCAGGATTTTATCTGTTTCCAAACGATAACTGTGGCTCTAAATCACAATGGTAGAGCAAGGAGATATTGCTTTAACATGGCGATGAAGATGACTCGTGACAGTCAGAGAGATCTGCATCATATTTGACTTCATGGTAAAAATAACTTAATGTTTCCAAAAATGTACAGGAACAATGCTCACCTCTTTTTGGACTCCGATGACATAAAAGGTTTTGCCTTCAAACTTTAGCTTGCTCACGTCACCCCTGCAAAAAACAAGTCGCTGTCAGAATATTAAACATGCTAATAGCAAAGCTCACAGTGAGACTCTGCTGCAGTGTTGCGAGAATTTAAAAAATGAATGAGCTCATAACTTTTCAGACAATATGAAGGCCAATACAACAACTTCTACGTCATTTCTGGTTAGTTGTTTCTGAAAACAGAGTCAAATATGTCATCTGTAATTTTTTTAAAAGTCTTATTTCAGACCCTGGTTTTTACCATTTGAGCAGGTGTATCCTCTTGTTTCCCTGGAAAACCACAAACCCCGTGGCCGTGAAGCCCAGAAAGGCAGTCGAGCCTGTAAAGTCCTGAAAACACAAACACAGCAGGGGGTTGGGGGGGGAGCGGGGCGTCAGTGATCTCCATTAAAATGATACCTGCACAAAGTGAATTAGTAAGATGGAGAGAGACAAAATAAACGACAGCAGATCAGAACAAGGCAACTATTCTCTAATTATTTACAGTCTGAAAACATTTTCAGGTGTTGTTTCAATGTAAATCACACTATTCCTCTCTGAGTTCGTCTACTGTTTCACCAAACCTCTCATCTTTTATCGAAAGGTTTGTGCATAGAGCACACACAATAGATGTCAAACACAGTTTTCTCAGGTTGAGTATTTTAATGGAAACTTTGGCACAAAACATGATTTGTGTGGATGAGCGGGTCAGACACCTGAGTAATGTATGGGACTAATTTATCTGTACAGGAGTCTCAGAGTTATCATTACCAGAAAAAGGAATTTCCACAATGAGTTTAATTATTATTTTCTGTGTATTTAAATATTTTTACTCATAACTAGATTTGTGGACTAATTTGCTTTGATTGTGTTCAGTGGATATCTTGGGTTCTGAAAAACCTCTGCTTCAAATTTTTTGTCAGTGGCTCTGTTAAAAATATTAATCTGGGGAAAATGTTGACATGCTCAATACTTACTTATTTACGCTTGTTTTTTATAACCTATAACCTAATTGAGTCAAAACAGTAATTACAACAAATCAGATGAAAATGCATGAAATGACTTAGGGGACATGCAAACTTTAAAGTATATATTTTGTACATATAATATTCCCGCTCCCGAAACAGTACAATTATATTTAAGAAACTTTATGAGATGTGTTTTCAGGCTGCAAGCTACAAATTTAGCAGTATTTGTTACAGAAAGAGAGCAAAGACGGCTGACTTACTACATTGAGGATTTGTTTAGATTGATCAATAAGATTATTGATTCCTGGAATGTTTCTTTTTTCGTTTGCTGCAATGATATCCCCAGAGGGAAATTAAAATCCAGGAAGTAATTGGGATCTGGCCTCTGGAGCCTTTTCTCATTGATTTAATTTCTGCCTCATCCTCGAAAGACTGAGACAACAAAACTGGGTTTGTGTCCGGCCTTTTATCTGCGTAACTGTAAAGGTCATAATGGTAAAATATCCATTAGTAGTGAATTACCGTGGAAATGGTAGAAAAGTAGAATTAGCTAGTTTCTTCATTTATACTTTTATAATAAACAGAAATTTAAAAACTATTTTTGAGTCCCTAAAAACTTTCTTCATATGGCGAACATATTAAACTTTTTTTTATATACCTGATACAAATCCACGAGTATGACTGAATTTACAGAAAACACAGTGAGGAACAAATGAAAACATATACAATTAACACAATTCATATAACATTACTTTTTATCCTTCCTCGTAAAAATAGACTTGCAGCATCTTGACCAGATGAATTTCAGCAGTAAGGTAAAGTTTCACGATCTAGATTAATCACCTTGCATGGATGGGGGTCGACTCCATACGTTTCCAGGCTGTGGGCTCGTTGAAGCATATTTAACTCCGCCAAGGCTGCACACTGTCCCCTAAGGGAGACGAAGATGCAAAATTCAAGTTGGCACAGGATGCACAACCAACATTATCCCAATTTGGTCACAGACACAGTGTGCCGCCTAATGTGCCATTTGCCCAATAATTTCAACAATGATTTTGACTCTGCTCAGCAATTTATACAATTTATATTTTGGTTTGTGCACTCAAAATGAATAATGCCCACAAAACCCCAAATCTGTGTGTTATGTGGACTGCGGATTGTTTATATCAGCAAGCATCGCAGCCATGCTGCTACAAATGTTACATTAGCTGACATGGAGCCCAGACTTTTCCAAGGCTACAGCCAATCATTGACTCTACCAGGCGCTTCACTGAGGACACAGATATGATTCGTCTCTTGAAATCAACAAGCACAATGTCACTGGGGAAGACCTGTGAAAACACACAGATGTGTGTGGACGGTCAGGGAACTCTCACTCTCAGTGTAAAACTGTGATTTCTCTTTGAATGGTCTTGACTATGGAAATCACCTGAAGTCTCTACTGCTCAGTGTTAATCTACACACTGTTAATCCCGTCAGTCGAATCCACCGGGGCAGACAGAGGGCACAAGAGGGAAATTAAGGATTTGCCTTTGATGTACTGGAATAAAGTGTGACGGACAAAAGCTAATTTAACACAGGCATGATAAACAACCACCCCAGTGGAGAGGGTTTATATAACTATAAAAAATAATCTTGTTTTAGGAAGACATTCACTATCCAAACTTAATACAGTGTGGCATGACTAGAAATATGAAATTATTACTTGTTAATATTTTTCTTCAAATCTAGTCTGAAAGACTATTGTCTAAATAACACTTTAATCACATCAGTTTGTCTCTATTATTAACTTAATTTTACCATCTAAAATGCAGTGTCACAAAAAGAATAAGTCACTCTTTAGTTGTCAGTGGAGCGTTACACCCTGTTCACAGCAGTGAACATCTGGCTTCACAAGCATCAGGCTGAAAACACGAGCCTTTGTCCAGTGACCCCATCAGACTCTCTCTTCATCTTCTTTTGTTACCTGAGCTCATTTTTGTGTATTTCCATAATCTTCCTCTCCAGTTTGAGGGACTGTTTAGGGAACAGCTTGAAGTCTCTGATGTAGTCTGATGGATGCTCCTCTGGGTCATAATCTCCCAGCTCAGCTGCAAGAAAAAAAAAAAAGTTATATTTCTGACATCTGGCAGCATTGTTTTTGTAAAATAGATCATCTTAGAGCAAAGTATGGAGGCAAGTCACATAAGCTTCTCAAGTCTTAAAGCCTTTTTGTTGAATCTTCCTTTTGTTCTTTCTAAAGAAACTATTTATAGAAGAAGTTTGAGGCAGAAATCAGAGCCAATCACATTAAAGATGCAGGACTGAGTAAAAGAACTTTTGTCCCTTTATGTCTCGGTCCAAAGCAGATCGCTGGATACATGGTACAGATTTAAGAAACCTAGGCTGATTTTAATAACATTTATCTGGCAGATTCCAGTTTATTTATGTCAACAATAAATGTGCTTCTTGCACCGGAACAGGCCATGGAGTTCCACAAGGTTGTGTAATTGAGACAATATGTTTTGCTTGATGTAAAGTTGAAACCAGAGGTTTGCATACACTGAACAGAAAGACACACATACCTTTGTTTTTTCCTCAATGTTAAATAAGACAGAACTTTGTCTTATCTTAGGTCAGTTCATTACCAAAATTATTAGTATTTGACAGAGAGTGGAGTGGTGTCCAATGTAAATAAAACAAAAACACACTGAATTATGCCCAGAAGAGACGAGTAATTATTTTTGTCAATAAACATGCAGCTAGAATAAAAAGTACCAACATTTTTACTTTGCTGTATTTAACAGTCAATGTGCAGCAGAGGGAAAATTGCTTATTGGGTTCAGAGCAAATCCCTCTCACCCACACTTATTTCTGGATCCATTCTTAATTAATAACCATAACAAAGGTTAAATGAAAAACTTGCCTAGAGTTTAATTTAACAATAATCCTCAGACTGCTCCGCAGCTCCCTAATCAACACCTTGAGAAAGTGGGATGGGGACGTGTCCTCGTTAGTCAGAGCAGCCAATGATACGCCGCAGACACGCTGTGGGTTGAGATAACTGAGCGAGTCGCACTTTGCTCTCTGAGGACAAGAGCCAATGAGACGACGTTAGCGCAGCTCAGAGCCGAGTGGATCAGCCAGGAGGCTCCATTTATATGGCAGAGCTTCCTAATCCATATCAAAGTGGCTGTGATCTTACGTTTATCTGTCACTGTTAATTCAGAGAAGGAAAAAAAAACATTTTTAATCCCTATTCCCAGAGGTTTACAGAGATCGCTTGGTGTTTTAAAATGAGGGATTATAAGATAAGTCTAATAACCTCAGCTGCAGCTGGTTAATGGGCGAGAACTAACTGGTTCCACAATGAAAAGTCCCGTTTGTGCTTATTTCAGACAGTCCATCATTTTAGTCATTTTTTTAAGCAGCAAATAGCTTAAGGAACATTCTGTTTTTTGTACAGTATCGCCACATTTTCACTTTTGGTAATTTGGAAGGATTTGATTTTCAAGATGTAAGGTTTGCTCTTTGCAATGATTGAGCTGAAACACCATGCAGAGCTGGACACATTTCCCCCTGGTAAGGATGAGTAAAAAGCCTTAAAACAAGCAATTCTTCCAGCAGCAGCGGGGATGTAGTAAATTACACAAATTAGGGAATTATCATTTTCAAGAAAACCGCCGGTGCCAGACTGTGAGGTGAGAGTTGTGGAATAAGAAGAGCTGTAACAATGGCAAAAGGTTTGTTTTTAACAACAGCACACCTAAAAAAAAAAAAAAAAAAAAAAAAATCCCACCAGTGATTTTATGGCAGGAATGTTTTTCCTTCCCCACCTTAAAACGAAAGATTTTCTCTAAATCTTTCTGATTAAGTACATGCCACTGAAATCCAAGATGAATTTCGTCCATGAAATGAGTCAGAGACTGAAAGATCACACACAGTTTCCATGTGGCTCTGGTCCTCCTCACCCTGTACGATGCAGGCTCCCAGGTACGCCGCCTCAGCAAAGGGACACAGGAGGCGGCCGTGGTAGATGTCTCTCTTCAGCTGGAGGTACAGGAGATACCTGGCAGAATGCAAACAACAACACCGACAATAAACAGAGGAAAATACTTTGATTTGCACGAAAAAATATTCTTAAAATGTGCATTTATGTCTGTTTTGAATCCATCCACAGTCAACTTTTTTTTTTTTTTTAAAGAAATTATTTAAACAGGAGCCCTGTCACAGCGACAGCGACCACACCGCAGAGCGGTGCTGTGGTTACTATAGAAACAGCTTCACCGCAGACGTATCCATGCTGCTAACATGCTGATTTGTCTGGTTTTACCACAGAGACAAAAAGAATGACAGCCATTCTGGAACCGGAGACACTTGTTGCTATGGATGCAGATGAGTTTGCAGGAGAAATCACATGAACCAGTGAGACGATATCCACGAGATCAAACCGATTCAGCTTGGATGGTGAAACATGGCAGAAGGAAAGCATCACAGATTGAACAGAGAGAAAAAGGACTACTGCAATCTCTAAACAGTTTTATTTATAGGCTGCAGCTGCTTGGAGGTATGAGCCTAAATGTAATGATGAGATTAAATTTCTTATTACACTTTCTGATTTTGTGTGTCAGTCTGCAGATCTTTTCAATATGTGGTGCTCTGAGCAACAAATAGTTCAGTTTTTTTTATTTTTATTGTTAATATTTATTTATTTATTTACAACATAACTTATTTTTTGTCACTGTCATCAATGCTCTAAGTCAGTGGTATTTGTGTCCTTGTTGGGTTGCTATATAATGTAGAAAAAAAAACATAAGTAAAAGGAAAATATTAAAGCCCTGTACTAAATAAAATCTTTATGATGAAAGAATGATGCTCAGCAGATGAGAAACCTCTGAAAACCGGAGCTGGCAGTGAAAACAACCCATTCTTCCTGAGCCATCATCTCTTCTAACCACTTTTCACTGGTGAGCAGCTTCAAGGTGCTCAGAAGGCATCTGGACTTCTTTTCTTGATTTTTTTTTTTTTTTTGAATCCAATATGCCAATTAATTTAAGCACTTTGGTTATTGGGTCCTAGACGGCTGAGAATCTACACCGATGCAGTGAGAAGATATTTGCGTGTCAATGCAGGGTGTGAGTTTGTTTAAGCTGAAGTGACTCAGACTCAGCATATTCACGTCATATCACATGTTTTTCCTGGCATTTTTTTTATGTGATATCATAAAAATCAGTTCTTTTTAACTGAAAACATTTATTTGTTTGATTTAAAGACACATTTTTTTTACATTGTTTCTCACCTTCTGAGATCCCACATGAGCTCCTGATGTGAATCACCTCCTCATATTTCTCTCAGTGCAAAATTATTGTACTTGTGTACCACTTTCCTGCTGGTACACCTGAAATTCCCAACTTTGGGACAATTAAAATATTTATATTCTGTTAACGGCTTGCTAAACATACTGAAAAGCTGCTCTCTCGCTCCCACCAAAAAACTGTATCTGCTCATATTAAATATAAAAAGCAAAAAACTATCTCTTGCATAGAAATAAATAATTTCTACATGAAAAAACTATATTGATCTGTTAGTTTTTACCTGGTGAGCTCCTCCTTAATTTTCATTGGCTCGTGGGGGTAGAACTTGACCCGGAAGCACATTGTGAACGGGTGCAGAGCTGCTGAGGACAAGAGACACAAACACAATTGTTTTTATTACATTTGGATATTATTGAAAAGTTTTATTTGTTTCTCTAACTCAGCTCACCAAGTTCAACACATTGTGTAAACTGATTAATTAAAGGTGATGCTCTCGGTAACTTTCTTCCTGTTAGTTGAGGATTTTCTGATTGCAGCTAATGAAGACATAATCTTTAACAGTAGAATATTACATAAGACTAATAAAAAACATTTTCGATAAAGAAATGTTTTAGAAAAGTACTTTTAGTCTTCATCGTTCAACTTACTTCTTACTGTTAGACAGTAAACTATCTACTGCAGATAGTTTATTTCCACAATAAATTAAATTTTTTTATAACTGCTTTTCGAATTTCTTCTGGGTATCTTTTGGTAATTTGTTTGATAATCTGATAAGTACTTTTTCCTTTAACTGCACATGATGTATCTGGAACATAATTTTCTAAATAGCGTTCAGGAGATAAACACTGTTTGCTTCCCTCTGTTTAAGTCCATCATGGCCTTAAATGTGTGTCGCTCATGTTGAAATTCACCAATTCTTACATTTTATTTGATCTCGGACCAAACCTTATGGTAGGGTAAATGAGTGTAGACAAAGTTTAGAGCAATGACAAATAAGAACAACAGCAGAAAAAAAAAAACTGAGAACAAAAAAAAAAAAAAATTAAAGTGTGTCTCAGAAAAACAGTCATTTGATTATGACAGTAAATACATACGGCGGTCTTAAAGCAGGGTGTCCTGGTTTTACGTTAAATCCAAAACAGGTGTCTCTCTGTGTAAGATTCATAACGTTTGTTTTCCATGAATCTGAAGCCTACTTTTATCCAGTTTTATAAGGGGCACAAACAGATACAAAATTCCAACATTAAATGTTCGAAAAGGAGCGTTACCGAGGAAGAAATGAATCCTCTAACCAGTAATCTTCACAGTGTGCCTCCTCCAGCCTGCCTTTAAAAGCAGGAGCCCCCATGGCAGTGGTCCCCAAACTTTTTCCTATGAGGGCCACATAACTTTTCCCTTCTCTGGTGGGGGGCCGGAAATTGTTGAGGGGGTGGGGCGTTTCTCGATTGATTTTTACCCAGAAAGCACATGGGCAAAAACCATGAGTGAAACGGTCACTGGGACTGACTAGTATATAATCCCATTGAGGGAATGTAACTATAACATATTAATTCCTCATATGTTAACATAAAGGCTCGTTTTGAAGTATAAGCTGCTACTTACAGGCATCGCTTCGAAGAATTCAACCTGGAATGCCATCTGCTCTACCGCAAGCACAGTACTGATTAAATAACATAAAATAAATAACATAAAAGTCAAGCAGTTCCCTAATGCGCCATGCAAAACAAAACACCCACAGTTTACAGGACACACCTCCTGCTAAAGAGCCCCCTGGTGGTTGAAGAAAAATCCAAACACCCACAGTTCCTGCTAAAGAGCCACCTGGTGGTTGAAGAAAAATCCACATATAAACTGGAAAATACAATAAATGAAAAAAAATCTGAATGCTCTCTGGTATTGTTCAGGGGGCCGGATCCGGCCCGCGTGCCGTAGTTTGGGGACCCCTGCCCTATGGTATTATCTCGCCATGAAAGAAAGGGGAAAAAAAAAAAAAACACCCCACATCTACATAATACATGCTGAGCAATGTGAAAGATGCAATCCTCCCACCAGCTCCCAAAGAACTTGAGCTGCTTATTTGCTCGGGCTTATGGGATGGCAACAGCGTCTCTGAAAACATTATTGAGAAAGGCCGTCGGCACAAACGCGGGTGAATGTGACGTCTACCGACGTGCGTAAGCCGAGAACCATAAAGAGTCCTGAAAACACAAGCCACCGAAACCCAATTTAGGGAGAAAAATCCCGTTGCATGCAGAGCTGATGTGTCATTTCAAATCAAATCTTTTCAACGCTCTTCCTCCATCCTCTTCTTCCTCTTCTTTCTCCTTCTTTCAGTCTCTGTCAGCTTTTTTCATCTCAAACTCGCCAATTTCTACTATTCTATTCACTGATGTGACTTCCTTCTTTAGCTACATTATCAATCAGTGTCGCTCAGTCAGTCTGAATTAACCCTGGAATATATCGGCTTTATTACTCTTCCAACATCCCATCTCAGTTTGCAGTGATATCCACAGTCTCCCATTTTCACAGAGGGAGAATATGCAACTAATAGCTCTTTTATTAATTTATGACAGGACAGAAAGAACAGTGCAGTCATTAGAAGAGTGGATGAACTTCAAATAGTGAAATGAGGACATAGGAAGGAAGAAAAGGAAAAAAACGAAGAGAACATCCAGACTAAAAGGAAAATTATGAGAGAACACAAAAAAAGATGGATGAAAAACATGGAAGCCAAGAAACATTAAACCTGGGAGTTTGTAAGGAAGATCTCAAAACCCCCAAAGTGGATTTTGTTTAAATTTTTCATCAAGCTAAGGCGCATTTTTATCCCTTGATGTCATTTTAGTTTCACAAAAATTAAATATATCCCACAGCTTGCTGCAGGAAAATTTGAAACTCTTTCTCAATAAGTACAGATTCAATAGGTGCGGTATCTGCTTCCAGTCGCTGGCAGAAAACACAAAGCTTGAAGTAAACAGCCTGAATGTCACATATCAGGTTACAAACACCACAACAAAAACTACAAGGAAATACTTGTCTAAAAGCTTGTTTGCCAACTTATCGTGAGCAGGGTTAGGGTTACCCTAACCCTATCGTGAATAAATCCTTTACCTACTGTAAAAACCTCCAGAAGCTGATCAAATGAAAGCATCTTTTCTGGTGTAAACTGACGCAAACTGGCTATTTTTGTGAAACCAACTATTTTATAATAATAATATGGTAGCATATGCAGTGCAGTATATTTAAATATTCTGTAAGGACACAAAAACTATTTCCTGAAAGTGTTTTTTTTTTTTCCTGTTGTCCTGTCAATTAGGGTTACCAAGATTAATTTTATCTGCCACTTGGTAAATAATTTGATATACCGAGGGTTGTAGTGCATTTGGGCCACCATTTTTAGTTTTTCAAGAACAATCTAAAACACGAGTTAATTATTCAATAAATAGCTTTCATCCCATTTCATAGCTGTTCGTGCTTTGCTAGAGCAGCGGTGCAATACGTCTGTCTCGGCGGTAGGTGACAAACTGTTCTGTCAGATCAGCATACGTTGTCAGATACGCTTAGCTCAGACATGTATTCGCTGTCATTACCATATGATTTTATTTAATCATCAACATAGAATCATGACGTAGATCATCATACACTTTGTTATTAACAGCTGTATGGCGGGTAAGTAGGTTAATGAGTTTTACACGGGCGTGTGTTGTAGTTGACTGCAGCTGCAGCTGACCCTGCTTTAAATACACTTTGAAACCACGACAACGCATGTATATCTATCTAGTTATCATGTTGTATCATATTATAAACAATTTAATGACTTATAACTTGTTGCGTATGCTGAACTGACAACTCCACTGACGGTCGGACTTCTTAATGCGCATGCGCGGGGCATGCGTACTGACTGCATGTATGATATTCTGGCAGCGTATCTGACAGAACATATTGTAACGAAATCCCTACAAATGCTCTAGCTAGTTTGCCGTTTGTTGCCAAGTGACTGATGATGACGTTGGTGACAAGCTTTACCCAGATTGCACCTAGAGACAATAAGGACGATTCATTTGTAGTTTTCTGTGTCATAAAGTTAAATATAAGAGTGAAAATAAAGCCAGTCAAGTGGCGCAACATTTTACTCAATATTTTACACTCACTATGTCACTAAAATCAATCAGTCTGGTAAGGTTTTTAGCAACCATGAGCCAACAATGGGGCACCCTACTGGGGTATCGTACACAGTTTTCATCAGTAGAGAGCTCTCCTTTACAGTTCTTATCATATGTTATGAAGAAAATTTGGATCCCCGAAGTAATGTTCTACTTCCCATGTAGGTCCAGGCAGGGGGCCTGCTCCAACCTCTGCTGCAGCAGGTGAGTGTTAGGGAAACTAACACTCATGTTGTTGAATTAACACTCTATTTTCAACATACAACACTTGCACTGGAAATCTGACACTGCCGAATTTGCTGTGTATTCTCAAGAATCACTGGTAGCGGAAATATTTAAAGTTGTTTAAGTTTGTACTTTTTTCTAAATACTAAAATTAATCAAAGTGTGAATCTGAATTGGCAATCCACTAAATCCTTTATTCTCTGGAGGTCTGTTTCTTCTAGCCTGCCTTCAACATCGGAAAGACAAGAGAACATGACATTTAAATAAGGCATCTCGGTGTTGATCTTACTAGTCAGGACATGGCTGCAGAAAAATAGAAACTGGCTCAAACTTGCCACTTCACTTGCTCTGACTGCCAAAAAGCAGTCAGAGCAATAAATTAAAACTTTAAAAGAACTGGAACAGCGTAATGCCGATTCTTTCAGAGATTACCAAAAGATGCCTGTAAGAACCAAAAGCGAATGTTGATGTTTTTGTTTATTTGTCGTGGTGGTACATGTGTCCGGATTGTGCTACCCCTCAGCTGATGCGTAGGGGTGCGTAAGCATGTTATTTTCCTGATACTGCCGTATCCAACAGGTAGGTTTCGGAAACTTTATTCAAACTCTTTTTTTCTTTTTTTGTCATCTCACATAATTTTTCAATCTTGATCACAAGTGATGTGTTTGATTTGATTGAGCCAAAATTCATTGTTCCAAGTTTTGAAATTAATATATAAAAAAAAAAAAATGGGGCTCATCATGGCTTATTGGAGATGCGTTACTCAGTCAGCAGCTGCTGTTTTTCAGGATCAAAGTCGCTGCAACATCTTTGATTGAACACACGGCCAGAGTCCAACAAGTTTTTATAGTTTCAGCTGCCCTGTACACGAACCTTACAGCATGGAGGAATCTATTTAACATTACACCTACTGTCCAAAAACTTACAAATCAAGAGTTTTCTGAGAATATTATTTTTTCCATCTGTGTCTTAGGTGATAACCTGAAGCTGGCAAAGAAGTGAAATAATGGATGATGATACAAAAGGACAGAAAATAAATAAATGCTCACTCTAAGAGATGTCATTCATTTCATCTTAGTTTCACATGCAATGAGATGACACAGGAGGTAAGAAATCTCCCTCCAAAGGTTAATGTTCTGTCAGTTTCTGATGCTGCTGTTGCATTTAAACATTAACTTGTTTAAAGCTTTTTGCCAAGGCTGCCAGTCATTATGGAGGGCACTGTAGTACACTTGCTGTTGCATTTCCAGAGACCCTAATGCAACAAGGTGAGCAGAAGGGACACTTACACTTCATTTGCTTCACCACAGGCTTGTTGGGCTCCAGCCAGTGCTAAAAGAGAGGAAAATAGGACATGAATGAAAGTCAAAATGAAGTAAACTTAAAAACGACAGACCTCTTGAAAGAGCAAGGCAAATAAAGAGAATGTCATATTTATGCATATATTTCTATTCTTTTTCCTCTTGAAACATGACATCTGTGTTTTAGTGACCTCTTCACATCTAGAGTTTTCTGATGGAATCTGTATCAAAATTCAATTAAATTATCTTGTTTTGTTTTCCTGCAAAGTTTTTGTTAAATGCTCGTAAGGGACTAACGATTTCATCACACCTAATTTTAAAAAGTACACGTGGAAATCAGAGTGGTTGGATTCTTGAAGATTCAAAGAAAAACATTTAAGGAAAGAAAACAAATTTCAGCTCCACATCTCAAAACTGTTGGAGAAAGTTCTAATTTGAAATAATGCCTTTTTACTGTCCAAATATTTTAAAACAAAGATCTTTTTTGTCACACTGAGAGGAAAAGTTTATTGAGCTGACATGCAGAACAGAACATCTCTGATTAGTGATAGCTTATTTGACTTCTGTGTGGTTTTTAAAGTACTTTTCAGTCATCCTCCCTTGGAATACAAAACCTATAAACTTTTTTTTGTGCATGTTTGCTTTACTGAGCTCTCTGCAGTATTATTTTTCCAACAATACTTGCTGTGTGTTGGTGCTTTTGTCTCTGTAAATTCAGTGTAGCTGAATGAAGCGTCTGGTCTCGTCTGTGTGCGTAGGCTGCTTGAAATATTGAGACCGATCTTGATTATTTGTCACTTGAGCCTGTAACGTAATGCAACCACTGCTGTCTGAGTAATATCTAACAGAGCAATTCTGGCAGCGGTGACTCAGTGCAACTACTTTCTCTAGTGAGTGTGATTCTGTTTGCGATTGTTCTTCTGCTGACGATTTCATTTTGTTAATAGAGGCAAAATGTCACCAATTGCTCATGGAGACAGTCCTGCGAGGTCTGCTGAAAAAATACTAAGCAGAGCTTCTTGGACTGGTCTTAGTTTGGGGTGTTTCCACTTATTTTGATTTGCTTGAATATATTATTTTAAGCAAACAGTGGATGCTACACAGAAAGTTGCTAAGTTGGCAACAGCAGGACGACTATTGTTTACAGTGGAGACGAGACCCGGTGGGCGGGTCTGTCTGTCCGTCCCTCACGCCTGGACAAAAGGAGACAGTGACTGATTTTCAGACTTTTGTGAAGGTAAGATAAGATCGGTTTCTCATTTAAGAATCAAAATTTAGTATTTCGCAGGGAGCAACTCTACCAAATACATTCGCTTTTTAAAAAACCGCCTGTTTAGAGTTGCTCTTGAAACATAATCAATGAAGCAATTATCAACAATCTGATGTGTAACAATGGCACTTGAGAAAATCCAATGTTTCAATTGTTGACTGTATGGGTTATGACTTTGTATTTTTATGATACAAAGCACTTTGAAATACTTTGTTGCTGAATTGTGTTACACAAATCAAACTTGGTTTGATTTGATTTTGTGTTTACAAGCATTTGAAGATGCATAAATTGGTCGCTTACTGTGTTGTTTCTTTATATTTAAGCAGAAAAATATGGCTTTATCCTTTACCCTCCACCACCTGTCACTGAAATCGACTGAATGACCTGAAAGAAAGATGAAAACAGTCCATTTTGTGTTGTTGTGTTTCATAGTTACCCTTTGCTTCTCAGGATCTACGTATCGTATGCCAAAGTAGTCCTTCTCCAGCAGGTTGTAGTGATTACAAACATGGTCCAACAGGAACTGGCCTTTGGTCTCTTTCTGCAAAGCAACAAAAAGCAAAAGAAGTGTCTAGTGTCTTGTGCAGCTTTACATCAACCACTACTTTGGTGTAACCTCTGCAAAAAACAACAAACCACACAAACAGCTGCAGCTGGTAGTTACTCCAGCACACATTTTAAAGACAATGACCCTTAGTTGGACCATATTCCTGTGCTGCACACATTATTTCACTGGAGTATAAGCCACTAACTTAAAGAACTGTGTCTGCAACTTTTTAGCCTCTTGGTGCTGATGTAGTTAGTTACTGTAGTTATAGTGTTGACTCAGCCGCTGTGGTTCATAAACACAGAGCCGGCTCAAAGCAATCAATACTCCATCAATATTAATCACCTCCACATCTACACACTTCATAACAACCTAAATGTTTCTGTGTTCATACAGCCACCTTATCATATTGTCACACAGATGCACTTCATTCTTGTTATAGCCTTTGATTCTGATAAATTATAGGAAATGATAAAGCTATAAAAATTTATTAGGCTGAAGTCTCATCACTTCACATGCGTCACAGCTTCTCATCACGCCACCCAGGGCCAGTATATTCTGTGCTCAGTTATGCAAGACTCATTGATCCAATAAAACCCTGCATTTGCCCTTGATGTGTTTCACTAACCCCTTTCTCATCATCACACACAAACAGAGCCACAGCTGCAGCTGGGTCTTTGGCCCCATGATGGAAACAGAATAAGTACAACTGCTGGCCAACAACAATGTCGAGCTGCCCCACAGTCAACCAGTTGCTAAATATGTTCTAGTTTTATTCAGCTGCACTCGTGCTCTGTTAAACAATTCATTCTGATTGTATACATATCCAATGGTTAGAATTTGGCAAAAATGTTCAATTTTATGTCTCTCCTTATAGAAAGTGAAATAGATTAATTACACATTTTAGGAAGCATTGCCAACCTTTATTTCTTCTGATTTTGGTGATAATGGATTACAGATAAAAAAGAAAACAGTACTCAGTGTCACAGAAAATTAGAATATTGTGAAGAGGTTACATACAGGAAACTCAAGGCGTCACACCCTAATTAGCGAATTAACTTAAAACACCTGCAAAGGTTTCCTGAGCTTTTAAAAAATCTCTCTCTCTTTCACTGCTGACCTGACATATGAAAACAGTCACTGACACTCTCGACAAGGAGGCTAAGCCACAAAAAGTAATTGCTGAAGAAGCAGGTTTCTCACAGAGTGCGTATGTAAGCATATTCCTGGAAAGTTGAGTGGAAGGAAAAAGTGTGGTAGGAAAAGGCCTGCTAAGAACAAGGATAGCTGCAGCCTCCATGCTGCACTGCACTGACGCAGTAATTCATGCAAAAAGATGACCGAACACTGAGTGAATAGAATTACCAATCTTTTCTGAAGCTTGGTATTTCTGTTTAAATTATATTTTTTTATATATATATTGATCTGAGGCAAAAAATAGGATCTTGTGAGACACATTTAGATTTTTTTTTTATTATCTGTAAGCCACAATCAGAAAAATTACAAGAAATTGCACAAAAGGCTCAAAATATTTTACTGTGTGTGTAATAAATCCATATGAGAGTTTACCTTTCTGAAGTAAGTAAATGATGAAAAATATAAGCAAAAAGCCTTAAAACAGACGAGTCTTTAAAAGGGACAGAATAATCTTACAATGAAAACAATTTAAAAAATATACCTTGATTATTGGTGAAACCTGCATCTCTGTGTGTATTTAACATTTCCGATAACAATGCCTGAGTTCACCCTTAAAATGAGCAAAGCAGAAAAAAAAACCATGAACATGAAATGCAAAATAGATGAAGCCGAAAATTTCAGGTCAATGCTTTCCACAGTGGAACATAATTAGACATGAAACAAGCACACGACTGCACATTACACAGGAGTTCACATAAAAGCACATCCTACAACCATAGCACAGGAGGACTGCTAAATTATCAAATGTACTAGCAAGATGTCTCACAGTCATGTGAATATGACATATCTAATTAAGAAATGACCTTTAAGACTTTTAATTTATTTAAAAAAGATTAGCAGAATTTTAAATCAGCCATTTGGTTATCGAATAAAAATAGTCAACAGGTGGAAAACATAAAATAAAATTTGAAAAAACAGGCTACATGCCCAGGTGTGGCTTTCCAAGCAGATTTATTCAATTAAGTCCCCCAAAAAGTGCCACAATAATTACAAGAGACTGTGATGAAATGTGTTCAAAGAAGAAATCTTTGGAAAGTCTAGATTATTTTTTTGCACCATAACTGACAAATAAACCAAATTCAGCATCATATTAAAATAACCTCATACAGACTGAAGCATGGCGGAGGAAGTGTCATGTTTGGGGATGCTCTGCTGCAGCTGGTCCAGCTTCCCATCATAAAATCCAGTATGAATTCCACCATAGACCAAAGTTTCTTTGAGGAAAATGTGAGACTGTCAAAAATTATTAAAGCTGAAGCAGAAGTGGAACGTAAAATCAAGCCAAAGCCCAGATCTTGAGATGTGTTGTTTGGGTTACTTTAACTGGACCGTGTAGAAAAATATCTCTCAGCTTATGAAAAGGATTACAGAAGGACCATTTAGTTATTTCAGCCACAGCAGCAAACTCAGGCTGTCACAGTGTCCGAACATATTCCTCAGCAAGAAAACACATTTGTGCTTATATATCTTTGTTTAGCGAGTAACACCATTTTTTAAAATAAAAATATATACCACTATTTGAAACATTTTAACAAATAAATAATTATTTAATTGTGTCCTATTGTCTTAAAATATGAATATACATGGAAAGTGTAAAAGCATAGCGCTATGAAATAAAATGACCTCCTTTTGAGGTCCTCTTGATGCTGCATGTGTTCATCATAAAGTGGGGATAAAATTCAGTATAACACAGCACTATCCAACCCTGAGCTCTAAATAGCAGCAACAGAGCTCAGTTTATGATCTCAGGGACCTCTGAGTTGGAATCTGGAATCACCATTGGTTTGTCCATAGAAATAGAGAGAAAACACGAGTGTGTTTGCAGAACGCATAGAAAGACTTCCCCCTTCCTGTACAAGCTCCTCATCTCTGTCGGTGTGTATTTGGCCATATCTCCTAAGGATTTCCAGCAGATCCGTGACAACGTAGCAACCAAGCTGTTAAATGTAACAAGCAAACACAAACAGACAGAGAGGGAGAAGGAGAATAGGAGAATCAGAGTGAAAACGGCTACGCTTCAAGCGCTTTCCAGTGAGATCATCAAACAACACCTTCCCTCTGTCTGGTTCTCAGGGCAAACATTCAGAGGAAGAACAGAGGTGGATAGATGCCAAGTAGGAAGAGAGAAAACCCGACCAGACAGAGTCAAACAAGGCCATACACGCTGAGAGGCTGAACGAGAGGGAAAGCAAACCATGGATAAAAAAAGAAAGTATATAACAGAGAGACAGGAAGGTTGACTAGTGAGGCAGAGAAAGAGACAAAGTGTGGAAGAGAGATGTAAAGAGTCTATGTCATGTCCAACAAGGGCTGGATGCATATTTTATATTTCCAAAGGCTGGACATTAAAAATTAACCCGGTCATACTGTCTTTACATGATCTCACCTAATGACAGCAAAGTGCTGTCTCTCCCGAACTCTCTCAGTCCACTCACACACACACACACACACACACACACACACACACACACACACACACACACACACACACACACACACACACTTTAAACAGAGCAGCAGCGACGAGTGTGTTCAGCTTGGCAAAGTGCACTTTGACATCAGTTTAGTCCGAATCCACTCTGTAGTTTTTTTTCTTGCTCGTGTAAAACAGCGCTGTCACGGCCAGCAGAGTCCACATGATGGCCAACAAGTGAGCAACAACTCTTCTAAAAGCATAAGAAAAATGCAACAGTCATCCTTTTTCTGTCCTGCTCAAGAAGGAGGCAATCGCAGGAATGCATAAGACAAACAACCATCCATCCACACACTCGCTCCTAAATTCACCGACTTACTCAGACATGCAGTTTTCTGGTTTGGCAAAGAAAGTCAGATCACTCGAAGAAAGCCATGCACACGCAACGTAGGATTAGGAGGAAAAACTTTTAGCAGCTTGGCCACAATTATAAAAATAAACTAACAATTATTTATTGATCATTTTTGTCAAAATGTATTGTCAACATAAGAAAACATCTGACAAAATCCAAGGATCTAAACTAAACTTGGTGCTCGACTTTATATTATACCTTTAATGTAATTTCTTTGTACGTAAATGATTGATTCACAAAGCTAATCTGCCAAAAGAAAAGAGGCCAAAATAGGCAAAAAACCAAGAACAACACAAAGAACGAAGGGGAAGCATATTTCTGAGGTGAGATTTTCAGAAGCTTCTGCTGTTTCTTTGTTAGCTCTTTCTGTCCTACATCTCACACAGCTGCATCTTTGTCCTGAATTTTGGTCACATGTAAAAATAAATGCATCATATTTCCATGCCTCTGATACTAAACCTTTTGTAATCTGATGCACCAGCATGACTGCGATCGCACCTTCGTATTGAAAGGTTAGTAAAATTAGAACTAAACCTTAAAAATGCCATTTCCATTTCTGATCTCCAGTACAGCAAAATTTGCCTGAGATACAAAAAAGTCAATTGCCAATGTCTCATGTTACACTATGCAGACATCCTGTCTGCAATGATGAAGAATCACTCACCTCAGCATCCATTGTGCTGGAAGTAGCTAAAACCTGACCCTTTTGATTTTGCTGCTAACAATGTATTGACCACTAGGGGGCATCAACAATGATCCACTGATCATATAATTTAAAAAAAAGGAAAATGTGATGCAGTAAAATGTAATTTATTCCATCCTGAAGAAGTGGACACATTTATGTTTTTTGTCTTTTGTGCTATTCCTGGTTTGTCCTAAATAATCTTTTTCAAAATTCTCAATCAGTTTACTGGTGTGTTTTGGATCATTGTAATATTACAGGCCCAGTTCTGTTGTATTTATTTTTGTATA